AAAAATCCAATAATTCAACAACGTACAAGAAACTTGAGTTTATAACATAAAATACTTCCTGAGAAACTCATATCAAAGGTCAAATCATCTAACAAAGAAGATTTCTATGCATGTGCACGTCAGAGGATTAACTATTCTATATACATTTTTGATATTGAACATAATATATTTTTTCCACAGAAGACATCTTTTGGGTTGTTACAACATAATTTTTCCTTTATATATAAAAAAGCATATATTGTTATTAAAAATCCAATAATTCAACAACTTGCAAGAAACTTGAGCTTAGAATATATAATACTTCCTGAGAAACTCATATCAAAGGTCAAATGATCTAACAAAGAAGATTTGTGTACAGGTGCACGTCAGAGGATTAACTATTCTATATACATTTTTTATATTGAACATAATATATTTTTTTCCGCAAAAGACATCTTTTAGGTTGTTACAACATAATTTTTCCTCTATATATAAAAAAAGCATATATTGTTATTAAAAATCCAATAATTCAACAACTTGCAAGAAGTTTGAGTTTATCTAACTTCTAATAAAAAGCGGAAGGAGAGTCTACTATTGATGCAATAGTAAATGAATCCAATTTTATTATGCATGATGTCATTTTTTATTTTCATTTTTGTTTATATCAAACAAATGTTATTTCACACATCATGACACTAGCATTAAAATAATAATAATAATTTTAGTAAATATAAACTGCCATGAGCAAAAAAAAAAAAAAAAACTCTTCGCACATGAACCTTAAAAAAAATAAAAATAATCTCACCGTACAGTACAGAGAGATGGCAAATCATTTGCGGAGTAAAAAATGAAGAAAAAAACTCACCGCATAGTATGGAGAGATGGCAAACCATGTGCGGAGAGTTGGCAAACTCTCCGTGTAGTAAAAAAAAAATCTCTTCGCACAATGCGGAGAGATGGCATTCTATGAGGACACTGTCCTCACAAAGTGCGGACTCTCCGTACAGTGCAGAGTACAAAAAAAAAAAAACTTCGCCCAATGCGGAAAGTTGGCAAACTTTCCGTATAGTGTGAAGTTAAAAAAAAAAAAGACCTCTTCGCACAGTGACTGTCACGTGCGTTGCACGAATTTTGCATTTATTGTATTTTTATTAGTGTATGAATTTTAGTTTTTTGAAAAGTTTTTGAAACAATATCTAAAAATATTTCCATGATACAAGAAAATAATTGTAAATTATTTTTACAATTGTATAACAATATTGTGTCATCTAGAAAAAATATACTTGTATATTTCATACTTGAATAAGAAATATATGAGATTATACAAATTATTTTGCTTGTATTTTTTGATAGTGTTGATATGATTGAGTTGAATATGAAGATTATATTTCTAAATTTTGTATAATTCAATATTTAAAAATTGAAGATTGAGCACAATAATCATATGCATTTATATTTTGTGCTTTATATATATTTAATATTTATTTTATACTTATATTGAGAAAATAAAAATCTGGAAATTTTTAGGGGAATGAGGGTTTACTATTGATGCAATAGTAAATGAATCCAATTTTACTATGCATGCTGTCATTTTTTATTTTTCATTTTATTTATATCAAACAAATGTTCTTCCACTCATTATGCCACTAGCATTAAAAAAATAATTATATCAAACAAATATTTTTCTACACATCATGCCACTAGCAGTAAAATAATAATAATAATAATAATTTTAGTAAATATAAATTGCCAAGAAAAAAAAACTCTTCGCACATGAGCCTTTAAAAAAAAACTCTTTGTACAATGCGGAGAGATGACAAATCATGTGCGGAGTAAAAAAAGAAGAAAAAACCTCTCTGCATAGTACGGAGAGATGGCAAACCATGTGGACACAGTAAAAAAAAATCTCTCCGCACAATGCAAAGAGATGACATTCTGTGCAGACACAGTCCTCACAAAGCACAGACTCTCCGTACTGTAAAAAAAAATAATAATAAAAAACTTCTCACAATGAGGAGAGTTGGCAAATTCTCCGTACAGTGCGAAAATAAAAAAAAGAAAAGAAAAAAACCTCTCCGCACAGTGACTGTCACGTGCGTTGCACGAGTTTTGCATTTATCGTATTTTTATTAGTGTATAAATTTTAGTTTTTTTGAAAGTTTTTGAAACAATATCTAAAAACATTTACATGATATAAGAAAATAATTACAAATTATTTTTATAATTGCATAACAGTATTGTGTCATCTAGAAATAATATACCTGTATATTTCATACTTGAATAAGAAATATACGAGATTATACAAATTATTTTACTTGTATTCTTTGACAGTGTTGATATGATTGAGTTGAATATGAAGATTATATTTCTAAATTTTGTGTAATTCAATATTAAAAAATTGAAGATTGAGTACCATATTCATATGCATTTATATTTTGTGCTTCATATATATTTAATATTTATTTTATGCTTATGTTGAAAAAATAAAAATCTGGAAATTTTTTTGAAATTGGTTTGGTAAGTGAATATATGGTGTTCTACATTCTCGATATTTGTAAATGCAAAAATCGGTATATAAAAATACAATAAGCTGCAAATATAGTAGGCAGAATATATGATAAATTTCAAATACGGTAGGCAGCATATACAATAAGCTGCAAATACGGTAAGAAGAAAATACGGTAAGTTGTTTGTAAATACGGTAGGCAGCATATACAATATGGTGCAAATACGGTAGGCTAAAAATATGTTAAGCTATAAATACGATAAGCAACATATATGGTAAACTGTATATACAGTAAGCTGCCTGCAAATAAGGTAAGGCGAAAAAATGAATTTATAATTTTTTATAAATGTATAAAATTTATTTGATATTGAACTTTTTAAGTATTAAATGTTGTAATTCAATATTATTTCCTTTTTTATAATTGTATTTTCGAGAATTGAAAAAAAAAAAGTGGTTATGAAATTGTTAATTTTTAAATGTGTTTTTTGTTGAAGATAAAAATGATTTTTTTATCTTATTTGTAAAAAAAAAAAAAATTATTGTAATTTTATTAGTGTAATAAGAAGATTTATTATGCGTTTTTATTTTTTGAATTTTGTGAAAAATTTTGTTTATGGTGATTGACAAATATTCTTCCACACACGCATCATGCCAACAACATTAAAAAAAAATTTAGTATATATAAACTGCATGAGATAAAAAAAAATCTCCGTACGTGAGTAAAAAAAAAAAACTCCCCAAAGTGCGAAAAGATGGTAAACTATCTCTCTGCATAGTGTGAAGAGAAAAACAAAAACTCTTGAAACTTTATCTGCAAGTTCCAGGAGGCATTTTCTCAAACAACTTTTGAGCAATGCATTGAACACTTTAATTCCTGGAGCGGAGAGTTGGTTTGTTATCTCTCCGCACTGTGTGGAGGGTTTTTTTTTACTCTGCATTATGTAGAGAGGCTTTTTCTTTCCGTACTTTTTTTTTACTCCGCACATGGTTCAACTCTCTACGCACTGTGCGAAGAGTTTTTTATTTCTCTCTGCACTTTTTTTTATTTCGCACATGGTTCAACTCTCTACGCACTATGCGGAGAGTTTTGCCATGGTGCGGACCAACTCTTCGTACTGTGTGAAGAGATTAACTCTCTCCGTATAGTGTGGAGAGTTTTTTTTGCTCTCTGTACTGTGGGAAGAGTTGATCTGTCATCTCTCTTCGCACTGTGCGGAGAGTTTTTTTTTACCACACTGTGCGAAGAGTTTGCCAACTCTCCGCACATAGTTCAACTCTCTTCGCATTGTGCTGAGAGGTTTTTTTTTCTCCCCACCTTTTTTTATTTTTACTTCGAACTTGGTCAACTCTCTCTGCACTGTACAGAGAGTTTTTTTTTTCAATTTAGAATATTGCAATTATTTTCTGCACTGTACAGAGAGTTTTTTTTTTCAATTTAGAATATTGCAATTATTTTCTTACATCATGAAATTATTTTTAGATATTGTTTCAAAAACTTTTCTTAAAAACTAAAATTCATACATTAATAAAAATACGATAAATACAAAATTCGTGCAACGCACATAATAGCAACTAATAATATAAAATACTTCCTGAGAAACTCATATCAAAGGTCAAATGATCTAGCAAAGAAGATTTCTATGCATGTGCACTTTAGAGGATTAACTATTCTATATACATTTTTGATGTTGAACATAATATATTTTTTTCACAAAAGACATCTTTTGGGTTGTTACAACATAATTTTTCCTTTATATATAAAAAAGCATATATTGTTATTAAAAATCCAATAATTCAAAAACTTGCAAGAAACTTGAGGATTAACTATTCTATATACATTTTTGATGTTGAACGTAATATATTTTTTCCACAAAAGACATCTTTTGGGTTTTAACCACATAATTTTTCCTTTATATATAAAAAATCATATATTGTTATTAAAAATCCAATAATTCAACAACTTGCAAGAAACTTGAGTTTATAACATAAAATACTTCCTGAGAAACTCGTATCAAAGGTCAAATCATCTAACAAAGAAGATTTCTATGCATGTGCATGTCAGAGGATTAACTATTGTATATACATTTTTGATATTGAACATAATATATTTTTTCCACAAAAGACATCTTTTGGGTTGTTACAACATAATTTTTCCTTTATATATAAAAAAGCATATATTGTTTTTAAAAATTCAATAATTCAACAACTTGCAAGAAACTTGAGTTTATAATATAAAATACTTCCTGAGAAACTCATATCAAAGGTCAAATGATCTAACAAAGAAGATTTCTATACATGTGCACGTAAGGGGATTAACTATTCTATATACATATTTTATATTGAACATGATATTTTTTTTCCCCGCAAAAAGACATCATTTGGGTTGTTACAACATAATTTTTCCTTTACATAAAATAGTATATATTATTAGGTAGTGTTATTAGCCAATGTCTGATGTTTGACGTGTGAGCATATTCACACACGGTGGTTACACTATAAAATGACTAGATAAAACAATCTATCCATTCATTCGTTCTTTTGTATCGTTGTCTTCTTCATTTTCAACATTTGATGGCGGTTTCAATTTTGAGTTTGAAATTTTTAAGGGCATCATCAATCATTTTTGATTCATCTTCGTCATTCCCCAAAGGAATCTGTGGTTCAATTTATCTTGGCGCAAAACACTACAAATGGGTTTCTGATAAATCGCGGCTGGAGCCTGAGTACGATAAAGAAGCTCGAAGCAATGACAACCCTTCGTACTTCCCAAACCGAAACCAAATGTTTGGCAATGAGGTTGGAACCTAAACTGTCTACAATTTTATGCGAATATCTATAGCAACTAAATACGTTTTATAGATGCGAGTATTTAGCTTCAAGAATATCCATGAATTTTATTATTAAGAATATCTTGTTTTCTTAGGCCGAAGACGAAGGTTATCGGACGGGTGATGATCTCATTAAACAGGTTAGAAATGCTGGGCCCTATTTGGAAAATTGGAATGAGAATCACAATGCAAGTCATGTAACCGACATCAGTAGCGGAGAAATAATAGACATGGAAAAAGTAACAATGGCGTGTAGGTGTCCAAAATGCAAACATGCATTTCGTGTGCATGCAAACTTGACAGGTAAAAACTGATGGTTTCGGCGAGTCAGTTGTTGGGTTACCTAAAGTTTAGTTATGTTGTAATAAATTTGATAATTTCATTCATGTTTAAAATCCAGAATGTTATAATAAAAATTTCATTTAATTGAATAAATTAATTGTGTCTTTTCGTAATATTCTGTGGTACATGTATTCAGTGTATTAGATACATTGTACAAGTGAATAAATTAAGATATATCTTTTGATGGATTCATGTTCTTAAAAATTGCACAAATCATATGGGGAAAATTTTGCAATTAATCTTTGTTATATTTATTAATTTAAATGCACATTGTTACACCTTGCCACCGAGACTTCAATTGAAAATCACGTCATTGTCCTCATGGAGATGTGAGTAAAATCTGACTAAGTCAACAAAGAACCAATTGGTCAGAAAAGAAGTCAAAGAAGAAGTTGATGCCCTTTGTTCCGAAGTTCTTCACTCTTTCGGTTGAAGCTACCCGTAGCCTATGCTTTTTGTTCAGAAGATCCTTTGGCCAAAGCCCTCGCTCCATCTGAAGCTCTTGCCGTCTTTTAGAGGAACTGAAGGCAATCTTTATGAATAATTAATGTAACATTTATAATAATGAATGTCAGGATTGTTAGCCTAGGGTATAGAGTGGGTGACTCGTTGTCAATGTGTTAAATACGCAACAGACTGAGTGATGTGAGACTTTGGCTTGGGAGATGAGGCCACGTGGTTTCTATCTAACAGCAACGACTTCGGCTAAAACTCTATAAATAAACAACTCTCATAACATTTGTTGAGAATGCAACTCTTTAGACTTGAAAACACACTCGGTCTTCTCTCTCACTTATTCCATATTTATTTGCTTGAGTTTAGTTTATTTGTAATTGGGTTAAGTTGTTTATGATTGTTTTTTTTATACGTAATCATCTCTAATCACATTGTCGGTGTTTGAACATTTTTTTCTCGCACCATAAAGCATCTCTCATGTCCATAAGCTCTATCCTTTTCTATTCAAATCTCAAGTCAAAATGTGTTGAAATTCGCTTGTGTGGACGTGAGTGGACCCGGCATGAGTTGTCCACGTAATCATTACGAAAAAGGGGTCAATAGATTAGCGCCGTCTGTAAAAAACCACACATTCAACCATGAAGAAATACATTTTGGGAGTTTCTTGCCTTTGAAGAAAAGTGAGAGTTCTTGAAGAAAGAACCATCAAATACTCCAAGGAGAGCAGCTCTTCAGATTCCAGTATATTCCTTGAAAAAGAAGACCATTTGCAATGTGAAAAGGAAGTTACTTTTGAAGAAGCTACCATGACTTCTGACAATGAAGAGTCAACGTCTTGGAGAGCTAGGAAATACTCTGAAGAAGGAAAACCCTCACATGCTGCTCCAGCGACTCGCTAGGAATAGAAGTCAGTGCTCAACTAGTCTAGAGACTATAGCTTAGTTGAACTTCTAATCCAATCACAAATCAACGAGGTGGATCAAGAAGTGGGCCTAGAAGTGGATCAAGAAGTGGTCCTAGAAATAGAGGCTCAACCTCATTTTACACCTAGAAATGGGCAGCAAGTACCGCCTCAGCTTGAAAGACAAAATTAACCAATTCATGGCAACATGCCTCAGAATCCTCCACCTAAGAATAGGTGTCAAAGGAGGGTAGAACAGGCCAGGAATTAAGTAGGACGTCTTAACCACATCTGGGACCTCAAGTCAGAGGAGATGAAGATTCTGACAAACCACAAAGGTCTTGCGACCTCGATAATGATGACGACAACTTGCCGTTGAAGTGTACTAATAGACATTAAGTAACAATGGTGTTCAAAGTCCAAAATGCAAACATGCATTTCGTGTGCATGCAAACTTGACAGGTAAAAGTTGAAGGTGTCAGGGAGTCAGTTGTTGGGTTACTAGAAAGTGTAGTTTTGTTGTAGTAAATTTGATATTTTCATTGTTGTTTAATCCATAATATTATAATAAAATTGTAATGTCCCGAAAATTTTATAGAATAAAATTCATTTGTTTTATATGTTATATAGTTGTATTTTGAAATTTAGGGACTAAAGTGAAAATATGTTTTAAACTCATATATTTTGGGTCAAATGAATACATTTTGAAAGAGTAAGTTTTAATAAATCGATATTGGATTCTTTTTGTAGCTCGTAATTAATTAGAAGGCTTCAACATATGAAAATTCTTTTAATTGAGTAAAATTCTTTTCATCTTTTAATTTTCCCCTCACGTCATTTTTATTTGATATGAAACCAATAGTGTAGTCAATTCAAATAATATTGTTTGAAACCAAGTCCAAGTTAGCAACGTGCCCTATTTTCAATGAGATGATTGTACCATGAAACCTATAGTAGTGTATACTACTAACTCTACCATTTGAAATCAATCCTTATCCAAATTCCTTGTATTACAAAGTTTTTCATTTCTGGTTGCCTACAAACTTAATTGAGAATTTAAAATATAAATACTGCATGAATACTCATTGTTTCACCACAAAAAATATAGAGAGCCATGGTAGAGAAAGGAGAGGAAAAACATATCGCAAAATAAGATAAGAATTTTTACGTGCAAGATTTTATTCTTTCCAATCTTTAAAAAATAAGATATGATACTTTTGTGCAAGTGTTTGTTTCCATACGATTTTTATATTCAATAATTTATGCATGAATTGTCAGTGGACCTTCGAGTTCGACCTAACGAAATGTGAAACTCTATTGGGTTCTTCATAATGAAATGTGAAATCCTTCGGGACTCAAAATGACTAATGATGGGTATCTCACTTGGTCACCGATATACTCTATAAGAGAATTATGGTAACATTAAATACAAAGAAAAGAGAATTCAAATTTATCAAAATCTGGCGTGTTACAAAAAAACATCATTTAATTGAATAAGTTAATTTTGTGTCTTTTGGTAATACTCTGGGATACATTGTAGATACATTGTACAAGAGAATTGATTAAGATATATTTTTTGATGATTGAAAATTGCACAAGTCATATGGATAAAATTTTGTAATTAATCTTTGTTATATTTATTAATAAACACATCACAATTAGATTATCCCACAGAAACAAATAACAAATTCTTTTTGGAAGCCTATAAAAGGCTAATGGTGTTAGTCATTTTCGATAGGTCAATTAAATAGAAAGTTGAATACTTTCTTGAAACCCTCTAATCATTCGAAAGTTGTTTTTCATCTCCAAATTTCAAACAAAAGTGACATCAAAAGGAGGTTATAGAGTGTGAGACGAGACGATAATAAACGAAATAACGACCATGGTACATGGAATATTCATATGAAAGTATGTTTTGGAAGTAAAGATTTATGAGACTTATTAGAAAGAGGTGCTTTGAATTACATAATGAAAAAGTCAGGACTCAGACTCAAAGACATTTTTAACAAAAAAATAAAAAATAAACGAAGAGAAAGAATCAAAAGGTGGTAGAGTATAAAGTCAGCACACTATTTAGTTGATTTAATTTCCCACTAATAAATATTTTAATCATCTGTGTGAATAACAGAATGCAATATTCATCAGATCTCTTTACGGTATGAGAGTACTCTCTGCCTTAAATAGAGTTTGACCATTGTTCTCTCCTTATCCTAGCAATTGAATGTTGGAAAAAAAATTAAAATTAAAAATAAAGTAAATTAGAATTGTAACAACAAATGGCTTCAATTCTCTAATTGATTTTTCAATTGAATTGGCGTAACATATTGCTCTAATATCTATTGTAATGGATATTGTAATATTTTGGTTTTAATACAAAATTAATAAGAATTGACACATCTTTCATCGTACTAATATATAAGGATGTGTTCTTCCCCTTATTCCAAAAGTCAATTTTGAAAGCTCTCTCTTTTCTCTTTACTTTCAAGAGCTTTGTTCTTTGTAACTTAGAAAATTATTAGATAAAGGGCCATAATAAGATAGGCATTGTTTACTAATTGTCATTTCATGAGGCACTAGACGTTTCTCTCCATCAATATTTTGTCGGCTCATTTGACTAAATAACCTCCCTTTAAATAAAGGAAAAATTTCGTAAATAAGAGATTAAGTATACCATATTTCAAAATTAATAGAACAAGTTTCAAACTTCGAAAATCAGATTTTTATTAAAATTTATTTATGATTTAATTAATTATATAATTATTTTATCAATTAAATATATTTAGATCACATATCTATACAATTTGGTTACAAATTAACAATTTAATTAGTCACTTATTATTTTTTAGTCACAAATCAGAAATTTTATATCACAAATTATTTTAGGATCACAATTCAAAAATTTTGTAGTTCATAGTTTGTTCATCGGTCACAAATTAATTATCACGGATTAATTTTTAGTCACAATTTATCAAATTATTGGTAGAACTTATTTTTCGGTCACAAATAAAATTTTTTATAGACCATCTATCACAAATATTATATTTCACAACTTATTAGACAGTCACAAATTATTAATTTTTTATGTCACACATTATTTCTTGATCACAATTTTTCTTTTTCATTAGTCACGTATTGTTTATTGGTCACAGATTAACTAATTCACTAGTCACAATCAACCAAATAATGTGTGACTACCACCAACACTTACAACCACTATTTCAACGCTGCCTCTACAGCACCACCACCACTGTCACCGCCAAAACCACCACCACCACATTGATCACAACTTTCAATCAACCAATAAAATCGTCACAAACACCCACACTCCATCCCACCACTCCAAGCACCAAACCACCACCAACCACCAGCAACGTTGCCCACCACCATCGTGGTGAGAGCCGCACGGACAAAGGCACTAAGGCACTGCACACTTTCCTATACCCATACCGTACCACAAAGGCCAGATCCACCACTAGTGGCCACCACTATAAAGCTATCACCACACAAAACACCACTCAAAATCGCCACCACATAAACACCACCCGAAGCTGCTACCTCACAAACACCATCACCACCACCACAATACAACACCACAAAAAACACCACAGTCACCACCACAAAATATACACCATACAAAACACCATCAACACACCCAATTTCAGAACCAAAACCAGTGGCTATGACCAACAAAATCGTCGACCAACCACAAACAAAATCAACGCCGCCGCCACAACCACCAACAAGCCCTCGATATGGCGTTCTAAATATCTATATAACTAATTTTCGGCAAGGGTTCTGATAAGAATGGGTCGATACTGCTGTTAGATCTGG